AGCTGCGCCACGTGGACCTTACGTGGAGCTCCCTATGGGGCCACGAAGCGTGTGAGGGGTGTGCCAAAATGAGCTCCCTGAGGGGCCACGAAACGTGTGAGGGGTGTGCCAAAATGGGGCGGTGGCGCCATGCGAGCTGCGCCACTTGGACCTCAGGTGGAGCTCCCTGATGGGGCCACGAAACGTGTGAGGGGTGTGCCAAAATGGGGCGGTGGCGCCATGCGAGCTGCGCCACTTGGACCTTAGGTGGAGCTCCCTATGGGGCCACGAAACGTGTGAGGGGTGTGCCAAAAAGGGACGGTGGCGCCATGCGAGCTGCGCCACGTGGACCTTAGGTGGAGCTCCCTATGGGGCCACGAAACGTGTGAGGGGTGTGCCATGATGATGACGATGATGATGATGATGACGATGAGGATGATAGGAGGGGAGAGGAGGCGGAGGAGGAGAGGAAGGAGACGCGGGGCACCGTCTCTTCAAAACGAGGACCCAACACCACAGGATGGTTGGGAACCAGGAAGGTTCTAAGGACATGTCGTGCCAAGTACAAAAAGTGATTCGTGCATTGTTCGGTGGGCCTGTAAGCAAGCCTGGACGCTTCGCGACTGCTTGACTCATCTCGAGGATCCTCAGAACGTGTGCCAGACATGCTCGCGTCGGGGAAAAAAATCGGGACTGGGGAGGCTTCTGGCCGTGCTCGGCCTCCAGGGGCGCTCGCCGGGCCCCGGGACCCTCCAGAAACGCCCCGGGAGGAAAAGCCGGCCCCGGGGACAGGGTCGGGACGCCCAGGGAGCCCGTGCTCAAACAAAAAGTGAGGGCATCGCATGTCTGGTGCGTCGGCGCACACGCGCGCCTCTCCACCGAGGCCCTTCGGGGCGACGCGGCCGACGCAACGAGGGCCGAACGGGGCAACACACAAACACACACCTTCGGCTAAAATCAACAGGCTAACCCCAGGCCTCCGACGTCATGACTTGTTCATGACGTCGACCCCCAGAGGTCTGGACCCCTTTCCCGGGACCGGCTTTTCATCCTGGACGGCCCCGAGAGGCCCGGCAAGGGCCCCCCCCAAAGGCCGAAACTAGCGAAAAACTGCCCGTCGTGACTTTTTCATGACTCGAGGGGGTCTGGGTGACGCATGTTCGGCGGGCCACCGATCCTCGTACAGCGAGGCCCGGAGCGCCAGGAGCTCCGCCCTCGACATGCCCTGCTGGTACCCCTGCCAGCACAGGTCGGCCACCTGTCAGCGGCGCGCACGGGGGGCAGCGGGAGGGGGGGGGCTTCCAAGAAGCCTCCTCCTCCTCCTCCTCCTCCTCCTCCTCCTCCCCCTCCTCCTCCTCCTCCTCCTCCCACGGGGGGGCCGCTGAAAAGGCAGGAGGCTTCTTGGAAGCCCTCAGGTTTCTGAGGAAACTGTGCTGGAAGTACCCATGCCCTGTGTCGCGCCCCTGGCCCCGAGGTGGCCCCAGGACTTCCATGGAGGCCCTGGCAACCCTCGCCGTCACAGGGTCCACCACTCGAGTAGGACAATCGACCACAGAAGTCACTTACCCCAAACTTGATTTCTTCGTCGAATCTACGAAGAGAAAAATCATTAACAAAAACACAACAAAACAACAAAAACGACGGAATCTCGCAGATCAACATCTATTCGACGTGTTGTTCTCGTAGAGTCGACGCAAACTGCAATGTTGGGGTGAGTCAGTTCTGTAGTCGATCCCCAAGTAGATCTACATCCATTCGGCGCACTTCTTTCCGTAGATTCGATGGAAATTTCAAGTTTGGGGTTCATCAACTCTGTCGTCGATCCCCGATTCGAACCACCTGGCCAGCCCGCTCCGCGCAGCCGCCCGCGGCGCGCACGGTCGTCTGGAAACGGCCCCTGCCCCCCCCCGCCTCGCGCACCTCGAAGACCCAGCGCCGCTGGGCCTCGTCGAACACGGGCATGCCCCGCGGCCTGCCCTCCGAGGCCCCCTGGGCGCGCGGCAGCGGCCCGCCTCCCGCGAGCGCGAGCTGCGCTGCAGCACCCGGTGATGACGGCGGTGGGAAGGCCCCCTCGCCGCCCTGGCAGCCGGGGGCCGGGACGGCGGCGCGCCCGGCAGGCAGCGCAGCGCCGCCCCCCGCGCCGCGCGCCGCGGGCGCCTCCGCCGCGGAGGGCGGGCCGGCGGCGTCCCCCGCGGGCGCCGGGCAGCCCGCGGCCGCCCTCCCCGGGGCGCGCGCCGAGGCGGACGAAGAGCGCGTCGCAGAGGACCTCGCCGGCGAGCTCCCGCGCCGCCGGGCCCCAGGCCGCCGAGGCCAGGACCACCTGCGAGGGGCGCGGCAGGGCCCCGAGGAGCCCGCGGAGCCCGGCGCCGAGGGGCAGCTCGTCGGCGTGCAGGATCGCGAGCACGAGGCCCGCGCCGGGCGCGCCCGCGCCCGCGGCCAGCGCCGCGCCGGGCGCGGAGGGGCCCACGACGGCGCAGCGAGCGGCGGCGGGCCAGTCGCCGTCCCCGTCGGGGCAAGCCACCTCGCAGGGGCAGCTCGGGCCACAGGGGCCGGTCGAGGCTCGGCCTCCCCCCCTCCTCCCCTCCCTCCTCCTCCTCTCCTCCTCCTCCTCCTCCCTCCCTCCTCTCCTCCTCCTCCTCCTCCTCCTCCTCCTCCTCCTCCTCCTCCCCCTCATCCTCCTCTTCTTCTTGTTGTTTCTTACCAGTATGATTATTATTATTATTCTTCTTACTGCTATTATTATTCTTAGTGTGGGTATGATTATGATTATTCTTATTATGATTATTTCTCTTCTTTATATTAGTATTAGCATTCTTCTTAGTATTAGTACTAAACGTATTGTTGTTGTTACTAGTGGTACTATTATTACTAGTATTATTATTACTGTTCGCATTAGTATTATTATTATTCGTATGTTTCTTATTATTTGTATTATTCTTATTATTATTCGTATGATTTTTCTTAGTGTTCTTACTATTAATATTCTTATTAGCATTATTGATATCAGCATTCTTCTTATTACTATCATTCTTCTTCATTTTCCAATTATTCTTATTATTAGTACTATTATTATTCCTCCTCCTCCTCCTCCTCCTCCTCCTCATCCTCCTCCTCCTCCTCCTCCTCCCCTCCTCCACCCCCTCCTCCTCCAACACCTCCTCCTCCTTCTCCTCCTCCTGTTTTTTCTTCGTGATGTTTTATTCACATTCGTCATCGTATTAGTCTTAGTATTCTCCTTCTTAGTATTAGCAGTACTATTGTTCTCATTCTTCATACTAGTATCGATATTACTGTTACTGGTATCATTCGTGTCACGAGAATTGTTGATATCATTATTCGTCCATCTCCTCCTCCTCTCCTCGTCCTCCTCCTTTCGTTACTCCATGTTTTCCTCCTTCTCGTCCTCAGCTTCCTCGTCCTTTTCCTCCTCGTCCTCCTCATCGTCATCAGCAGCATCTTCATCATCCCAATCATCAGCATCAGCCGCATCATCATCATCATCATCATCATCATCATCATCATCATCATCAGTATCATCAGCATCAGCATCAGCATCATCATCAACATCATTATCATCAGCATCATCATCATCGTCGTCATTGTCGTAATCATCATCATCATCATCATCATCATCATCAGCATCATCAGCAGCAGCATCATCATCATCCCCGCGTTCTTCCTCCTCCTCCTCCTCGTGCGGCCGCGAATCGTGCAGACCAGGCGGACGGTGCACCCCGGCGGACTCCGCCAAAACGGAGGGTGGCCGCCGGGGTGCGTCGGCTCACTCACCCACTCACTCGGTCACTCACTCCCTCACGCACTCACTTCTCCTCCTCCCCTACCTCTTCCTCCTCCTCCCCCTCCCTCCCCCTCCTCCTCCATACCCCTTCCTTTTAGATAACTCTCCCCTGTCGCACCCCGAGGCCAGTCGAGAAGGCGGGCCCGGCGTTTCGCCTGAGACTCCCTCACCATTTGCAATCCTGGAGGGCGGGTGGCTTTCAAAATGTGGCTCTCGCCGCGCCGCGCACATTCGTCTTGAACAATGACAACAACTTCACGCATGGATGGCGGTTCGTTTTCAAAATGTGGTTCATGCCCTTGCGACGCGCACGCTCGTCGTAAACATTTGCAAAAGATTCCCGCATGGAGGGCGGCAAGTTTTCAAAATGCGGTTCTCGCCATAACGCTGCGCACGTTGGATTTACAAAAAAACGCTTCATGGTGGAGGGCGACCCGTTTCCAAAATTACAACAGCATCAGCATCAGCATCAGCATCAGCATCATCATCAGCAGCAGCATCAGCATCAACATAGCCATCATCATAATCATCATCATCAGCATCATCATCAGCATCATCATCATCAGCACCATCATCATGAACATCATCAGCAGCATCATCATCATCGTCCGAATCATTATCAAAACATCATCATCACAATGACAACCATCAGCAGCATCATCATCACCATCATCATCAGCAGCATGAGCATCATCACCATCCGCATCGTCATCATCATGAGCATCAACATCATCAGCATCATCATGAACAGGATCATCATCACCAACACCACCACCACCACTATTATCATCGTCATCATCATCCGCATCATCATTATCATCATCAGCATCGTCAGCATCGTCAGCATCAGCATCATCAGCAGCATCACCATCCGCATCAGCATCAGCATCATCATCAGAATCAGCATCACCAGCATCACCAGCATTAAAACCATCATCCTCGTCGTTATCATCATCAGCATCATCAACATCCCGATCATCATCATCAGCATCAGCATCATCATCCTCATCAGCAGCAGTATCATCATCAGAAGCATAGTCATCTTCATCATTGCCATCAGCAGCAGCCACAGCATCAGCATCATCCTCCTCATCCTCATCAGCAGCATCATCATCACCATCATCATCATCGTCATCATAATCAGCAGCATCATCATCAGCATCGGTATCAGCAAGATCTTCATAGTGGTTGTTATTATCATCAGCATCAGTATCATCATCATCATCATCATCATCATCATCATCATCATCATCATCATCATCATCATCCTCAGCAGCATCAGAAGCATCATCATCTTTATCATCATCAGCATCATCATCATCATCATCATCATCATCATCATCATCATCAGCAGCATCAACATCAGCATCATCATCACAGACAGCATCATCAGCATCATCTTCATCATTCTCAGCAACATCAGCATCGGCATCAGCATCAGCATCCTCATCATCAGCATCATCATCAGCATCACCATCAGCATCGTCATACTCAGCATCATCATTAGCAGCATCACCATCCGCATCCGTATTAGCATCAGCATCAGCATCATCATCATCATCCTCATCCTCATCCTCATCCTCATTATCATCAACATCATCAGCATCATCATCATCATCATCATCATCATCATCATCATCATCATCATCATCATCATCATCATCATCATCCCCTCGTTCTTCCTCCTCCTCGTGCGGCCGCGAATCGGGCAGGCCAGGCGGACGGTGCACCCCGACGGACTCCGCCAAAACGGAGGGTGGCCGCCGGGGTGCGTCGACTCACTCACCCACTCACTCGGTCACTCACTCCCTCACGCACTCACTTCTCCTCCTCCCCTGCCTCTTCCTCCTCCTCCCCCTCCCTCCCCCTCCTCCTCCATACCCGTTCCTTACAGATAACTCGCCCCTGTCGCACCCAGAGGCCAGTCGAGAAGGCGGGCCTGGCGTTTCGCCTGAGACTCCCTCACCATCTGCGATCCTGGAGGGCGGGTGGCTTTCAAAATGTGGCTCTCGCCGTGGCGCCGCGCACATTCGTCTTGAACAATTGCAACAACTTCACGCATGGAGGGCGGGTCGTTTTCAAAATGTGGTTCATGCCCTTGCGCCGCGCACGATCGCCTTAAACGTTTTCAAAAGCTTCCCGCATGGAGGGCGGCACGTTTTTAAAATGTGGTTATCGCCATAGTGCTGCGCACATTCGTATTACAAATCACAGCAACTTCATGCATGGAGGGCGACCCGTATTCAAAATGTGGTTCTCACCTGAGCGCCGCGCAATTCGTCAAAGTTTGCAAATTGTGGCTCTCGCCTGAGCGCCGCGCACATCCGTCTTAAGAGTTTGCAGCACGCGCAAGGACTGTCATGGTGCACGTCCCAGAACTGGTGTTTGGGCACGATGCCGAAATGTCAGGGAGGAACAGCCACGTTTATTCGCAATGTTGTTGAAGTCCCACGAATGGTTCTCTGGCACGATTCTGGACCGTCGAAACGAAATAGTAGCGGTGATTCGTGGCGTCGAAGTCCCAGGAACGATGCTCTAGTAGCTCCCGATGTTCGAGAGAGCGTGATCCACCGCCACTTGACTGTGGAATTCCCCCCCTCTTCCTGCGGAACCCGGGGGACCCCCCTCCCCCTCCGAAAATACCCTCCCCCCCGTGCTCGAACCCTCCCGTCCCCCACCCGTTTCCCCGCCCCCCCCCCCCTTACCACCCCCAAACCCCCCTTACCCCCCCCCCTCCGGAAAACCGAGGGGGGTCACTACTGGTTCGAACCCCCTCCCCCCCCCCCTGGTTCGAACCCTCCCCCCTTCCCACTAGCCGCCGGCAAACGACACGACTCCCGGGTCCCCACCACTGTCCTCACCACCGCCCTCACCGCTGTCCCCGCCACCACCGTCCCCACCACCACTGTCCCACTGTCCCCACTGTTCCCATCACTGTCCCCACCAGAGTCCCCACCATTGTCGCACTGTCCCCACAGTCCCCACCACTGTTCCCACCTCCACTGTCCCCACCACTGTCCCACTGTTCCCACTGTCCGCACCACTGTCCCACTATCACCACTGTCCCCGCCGCTGTCTCACTGAGCTGTCCCAACAATTCCCACCACTGTCCCACTGTCCCCACTGTCCCCACCACTGTCCTCACTGTACCACTGTCCAATTGTCCCACCACCGTCCTCACCACCGCCCTCACCACTGTCACCACCATCACCGTCCCCACCATTGTCCCACTGTCCCCACTGTCCCCCCCAGTGTCCCACTGTCCCCACACCACTGTCCCCACAACCACCGTCCCCACCACTGTCCCATTGTCCCCGCTGTCCTCACCACTGTCTCACTGTCCCCACGGTTCCCACCATTGTCACCACTGTCCCCACCAGTGGCACCCCAAGTGTCTCACTGTCCCCACTGTCCCCACCAATGTCCCCATCACTGTCCCACTCTCCCCATTGTCCCGACTGTCCCCACTACCGTCCCAAAGTCCCCACTGTCCCCAACACTGTCCCACTGTAGCCAGTGTCCCCACCGCTGTCCCACTGTGCTGTCGAACTGTCCCAGTGTCCCCGCTGTCCCCACCACTCTCCCCACTGTGCCACTGTCCCGTGGTCCCACTACCGTCCTCACCACCGCCCTCACAAGTCCCCACCACTGTCCCACTGTCCCCACTGTCCCCACCACTGTCCCACTGTCCCCACCACCACCGTCCCCACCACTGTCCCACT